AATGTTGGACTGTAAGTCATTTATTCATCCCAATAGGAGGCTATCTGTTAGCAAATTATAATGTAAATGATTCTCAATATTGAGCATAATCAAGATCCTAATTTACTTTATAAATAATCCTGTCTCCATCTTTATATATTTAATGATACATTTGTATGTTCTCAGTGGAAACCTTGCAAGTATGATAATATAAAAATAGGTAGATGTGTCAATGAGACAACTACATACATCCACCAGAGACCAAAGGTACAGGATGTAAACAACTATTAGATCACCTTATTATAACCTTCAACACTGAGCAAAACCCATACTGTATAAGCTATTAAAGTTCCAGGCAAGACAAAATATTAAAAATTTCAAAAGAGAAAACAAAAGTCTTGGTTTATGCTTAAAACAAGAAGCAAAAACAATTATGTCAGACAGCAACCAACAACCACTGTATACAGGCTCCTGATATGGGACAAACCATTAAGAATGTGTTAAGGGTTAAACATGTTTGTGAGCACTCAACCCTCCCCATACCTGGGACTGGTGTATAAAAGTGAAACATTTTTTATACAAAATTGGATAGATCTTTATATTTAAGTACCTAGTACAATGTAGTAGGAATATTTGTGACGTCACAGAATTCCAGGATATTCCACTGTTTGGAGAATTTCGCATTCAAAAGTGCATACAAAATGCATTTGGAAAAAAAATTATGCTTGTAAGAGGAAACTTCCAATTATAATCTAGCAACCTGTACAATCTAAACTACATGTATATCTTTTCAGTTTGAACAACATGTTTTCCTGAAAAATCAGCAATTTGTTCCTTTTATAGTATTATAGAAATGCATGTTTTATCTTTCAGTTGCTGTGCAAGTCCTTAGTTCAAATAGATGTTAAAGTATGGAAGGTAAAGATTATTATCAAACTCATCAGCTAAATATTATAATGCATGTTATGAATAAGATAAATTGCAGTTATTTCATTTATTGTAATTACATATAGTAGCTTATGCCTTTTTATGTAGGGTTCTTGGTAGCTTTGTTGGCCTCAGTACCTCAGTTGTCCTATCCAATCGTGGTTTAACATAAAGTTTGAAGAAAAACTGAAAAACATATATGAAAAACAATTCCTCTGTTTGCTCACAAGTTTAATAGATTATTTCTCCGCTCAAGAAAGCTTTAGAGTTTGAACATACATGTAACAGAATCTTATCGCAGGATTTTAATGAAATAGAAGTAAAAATATTTTTTTGCTCTGCTATACTTTTTAGTTATGTATTAATTTGAAAAATCTCAGTGAAAGCAAACTCATATGAAAAATAAGAAAAATTACATATTGTTTTATTTTATTATTTTTGTCAACATTTTGTCGCAGAAGCAAGACAGCCATATTACATTTCATTGGTGTCATCAAACATTTTGGTTCAGTCAGTGGCTAAAGCTTTAAACATCAATAACCTTGTCAAACCTTCATGTAATTGCATGAAACTTGGACAGAACAAAATTTTGAAAATATTTGTTTTTCATTTTACTTCCTCATTTTGTAAAAATAAATTTTAAGGATGTACAATGTACATGTACTCAATTTACAGTGATTAAGGTAGAAAAAGATACAAAGTAAAAATATAATGTATTTGTAAATTTGTGTTTCTCAGTAGCTTGTCATGCTTGTTGAAATGTCAGATCCTGGTAATAAGCCAGTCTGGTTGATAAATGTTTCTTTTTTAACAGATCATCCAACAGGTTTAAATTTTGACATCAGAATTTCAGGAGAAATCAACCTGTTTAATACATTGTATTTTTGTTTCTCACTTAACAGAGTTTTGACCATTTTAATTATCTGTTAACAGATTGTCCAACAGGCTTACTGGTTGACTTAACAAATCCCGTGGATAATGCACCCCAGTTAATTTCTACTACATCGCAGGAAGAGGATAAAGAAAATGCCAATCCATTGACAGGTTTGCCTTCTCAAGTTAATGATGTACACAAGATATTGAGTTGTCAGATATTATTTATAAAATATTGGGGGCCTCGGTGGCCGAGTGGTCTAAGTAGTTACTACTGTAATCACTAGCCAGTCAACACTGAGGTTGTGAGTTCGAACCCCGCTCGTGCGGGTGCACTCGACTCCAATCTTAATTGACTAGGATTGTCAGTTTTCCTATCGAAGGTCGGTGGTTTTCTCCGGGTACTCCGGCTTCCTCCACCAATAAAAACTGACCGCCACGAAATAGCCCAAAAGCGGTGCTTAAAAGTGGCGTTAAAACACCAAAAAATCAAAATCAAATTATAAAATATTTATTTTTGCCTTGGCTAATGCATGAAAAGATTAATAGTAATTACCATAACTATTGGACAGTACAACATACCACAACAACCACCAACACTTGGTTCCTTCAAAAAAAAATTATGTATATTTGATTTAGTTTTTTGAACTTATTTCATTTAACATTTTTAAAGAAAAACAGACAAATCTGCTTCATCTTTAAGATTTGGGAATGTTCTATTCATGTTTATTTGAATATATGCAACAGGCTCTTAGTTTCCACAAAAAGTTCTTTGCCACAAGATGCCTTGTACAAACAAATAGAGTGACTCGGATATTCTTTTTGTGTAAGACTGTCCATAAATTTTTTTTTACCAAGATTAATATTATAATTTTGTTAAGTCAAAGTGACATCACATAAGGATCGATGAAGTTTACTACATGTATTGTCAAATTTCAGGTTTAGGTAATACATCTTTTTATTATACCCCACGCAACGAGTTGCGAAGGGTATACCGTATAATGTTTTTGACCCGTCCGTCCGTCCGTCTGTCTGTTCGTCTGTCCGTCCGTCAGTCCTTCAGTCTGTCAGTCCTATTTCTTGTCATCACAACTCCTCTCAAACCACACAACAGAATTTCACGAAACCTTTTTAGATAATCAGGACATACTATGTAGTTTTGCATATCGACAGGAAATTACGATTCAATTTTTTTTCTAGGAGTTACACCCCTTTGAACTTATTTACTTTAATGTACTACTGCAACAGTTTGTCATCGCATCTCCTCTCAAACCACACAACAGAATTTCATGAAACCTTTCCAGATAATAAGGACATACTACGTAGATGTGCATATCGACAGGAAATTACGATTCAATTTTTTTTCCAGGAGTTACTCCCCTTTGAACTTATTTGCCCAATATAATACTGCAACCTTTTGTCATCGCAACTCCTCTGAAACCACACAACAGAATTTCATGAAGCCTTTTCAGATAATAAGGACATACTACGTAGATGTGCATATCAACAGGAAATTACGATTCAAATTTTTTTCCAGGAGTTACACCCCTTTGAACTTATTTGCCCAATATACTACTGCAACCTTTTGTCATCGCAACTCCTCTCAAACCACACAACAAAATTTCATGAAACCTTTTCAGATAATAAGGACATACTACGTAGATGTGCATATCGACAGGAAATTACGATTCAATTTTTTTTCCAGGAGTTACGCCCCTTTGAACTTATTTGCCCAATATACTACTGCAACCTTTTGTCATAGCAACTCCTCTGAAACCATACAACAGAATTTCATGAAACCTTTTCAGATAATAAGGACATACTACGTAGATGTGCATATCGACAGGAAATTACGATTCAATTTTTTACCCAGGAGTTACGCCCCTTTGAACTTATTTGCCCAATATACTACTGCAACCTTTTGTCATTGCAACTCCTCTCAAACCACACAACAGAATTTCATGAAACTGTGTAGATAATAAGGACATACTATGTAGATGACTATGTAGATGTGCATATTGACAGGAAATTATGATTCAATTTTTTTTTCTGATACAATTTTTTTTTTTTACACTTATTTTATTTCTCCAATGACAATGTGGGGACGTGGGGTATGTGAGCGCGCTCACTAAGGTTCTTTCATTTTTTTATTTATTGCTGTTTCTGGTATGTCAAATGTTTCCAGGATGGCAATTTTTTTTTTTTTTTTAAATTATGGAAATTTGTGAATTATTTATCAATTGCCTTACTGAATTGAACTTAGCCTATTGTTATTTATCTTCATCTGTGTGTCTATTTTTTCGTAGGAGTAGGGTCACTACCTATAACCGAGTATGGCAGAAAGTGATTATCCCCCGATTATAGTACTGATTTTCCTCGATTTTGTACTGATTTTTCATGATAAATTTTACAGTATAGTTCTGTTATTTAATTTAAGTAGCTTGAACTAATCAATTGGTTAAAGATCATTTATTCTGTCTGGTCAGCAGTCATTAGTAAGTGATATCCTGAGGTGGGATTGCTTTGAAGTTACATCATGGCCTTCCTTATTCTGTTGCAGCTGATTTGAGTAAAAAAATCTGTTTTAGTCTGCTTTTAGAAAACTGGGAGTAAAAATTAGATTTTTTTTCATGAAATTTGTTTCAAATATAATAATCTGAAAAATCCAAGTAGAAATTTGGACAAAATAAGCATTTAAATGGGGGGAAAAACTAGCAATTAAACTTGAGCTTTGGTGTATAGATTGTCCCCGATCTGCTTGTGTTGATTACAGATTTTCCCTGATACCTATACAGATTGTCCCCGATTTTGAAAAAGCTAATCCTTCAAAAATAAAGCTAATATGTGGATCTTCATTACACTTAGGCATGTGCTAATAAAAATAGTGGAATATATGAAAAATTTTCCTGCAAACCAGTAATTCTACAATTTTATATTTAAAATTGAATTAGAGATGTTTTTGTTCATTGATATTTCATTGGTTGGTTCAGAAACTTTAAACAGGTTTCTTCTTGCTTGGGGTTCATAACTTACTGTTTGTATATTTCTGGATTCATAGTTTGGTGAATTTGATAAATTGTCTGAAATGGTTGGAGATTGTGATGATTTGCCTTTTTTGATAATCTTTTGTGGTGTATTTGTTGATAAGTTACAAATTATAATTTTTTCATCTTGTATTTTAATAAAAGTTTTTCCTTCTCTGTCAAGAAGTTCTGGAATGAATGCATGGTATGTTATCTTTCACCACCCTCTTCAAGTCTTCTCCAAATGACAATTTTGTCAGATGGATGTGTCTTCTGATGATGAGCTACTATTTCTTCAAAGATGACATTTTTAGAAAGCTATTAAAGCTATGTTGATATTTTCTTGCAAGTAACAGTTAAAAATAAAACTTAGAATGAACCTTTTTCCTTATGATACTATAAGAGAAAATCTGGGAAAATCTGTAATTAACTTAATCTTCTCTGGGACAATCTGTACACTGATAGTGGACAATCAGTACACTGCATCAGAAATTGAAATCATATTTTTTTTAGTATTTTCCTAATCTCCTTCAAAAAGTACTTCCAGCTCTAAGTTTACTTAATATGCACATTTGAATAAGTATTCTATAGTTAGAGAAATAACATTTAGATATTTGAATAATATAAGAAAATCACTTCCAATGACTTCCTTGCTTCGGAAAAGTTTCTATTTTTAGGATTGGTCATCACAATCCATATTGCCCATGGGAGGTCAATGATAAAAATGTTTGAATGAAAAGGAAGGTTGCATAATTATTGACACAGAATTTTTTTAATTCATATATAATTACCCTTTTGATGTTCTCTACATAGGAAATTCCGGAAAAATCAGTAATCAATCTGGGAAAATTAGTACTGCAATCGGGGGAAAATCACTTTCTGCCGTACTCAGTTACAGGCAGTGAGGGTGATAGTGGTTAGTGTGGTCTGTCTTACTGTCAGGTATTTTTAGTCATTCCTGCTTTCAACTGGTCATCCTTTTTATGTATTATTTTACCAGAATAAAAAGAGATACAGGAATGCATCAACAAGACAGCTATCCAACAAACAAAAACAAAGAATCTTTTGTACTGTTTGTCATAAAGTTGTAATACAGTTAACTTTAACTGGGGTTAAAAGAAATATAAGACATATAAAGCTCATCATGAAATGAAATTGAACAAGAACAAAACACAATTGCGGGAGTTATAGCCTTGTATACTGATAAGAATAATGTTTCTTTCATTTACAAAGGAGGTATGCAAAATATTATGTTTGCACTGTAATGCTGAATAACTACCAGAAAAAAAAAAAATTCTCGCTTATTTATGAATTTTCAATATGATGAGGTTGATGTTTAAATGAGAGAAAATAACCAATCAATGCAACTAAAAACTAAAAATCTGAGGTAATGAATAAAACACATTTTTAACACCACAGAAAAGGCTGCAACAGATAAAAGTTTGTTACCAGCATAAAAACAGTTTGATTAATCAATTACATCATTTCATATTAATGTCCAGATTTTGTACTCGACTAAAGACTTACATGTCAATTATTTATAATAGATTCAATAGAAATAGAAAGAAGTGGTGATACAGAAAGAAGACTGAGTTTAACATTAAAGAATTCTGATGATATACAAAATCGTATCTTACGTGATGTTACAGAGCAGTCATTACCAAACAGTGCTAAAAAGTGTGCTAGTCCAGGTATTGTTCATATATTGTAAAACTTTAATGTCAAAATTGTGAGGATAAATAAAATCACATATGACAGAAACAAAACACTCTATTAAAACAGTGTGTTACTCCAGGTATCTAAGCTGGGTGCTAAAATATCAGGTGATATATTCCTGTGAGATGTCACTGAAGACATGGATGAGTTGTAACCAATAAGTTTTAAAAATGATAAAGTCCTGGTATTTGATAATTAACAGGAACTTTTGATAGAGGATTGAGTGGAATTTCAGATTATCAGAAAACAGAGCTAAGACCACACTAATTTGATGTCTAGTTCTTCGGACAACTGCTCCAAAAAATATGGGGCGAGCAAGCAAAATGTTTTTATTTTTTATTTTTTTCTTGAAAATGAGTTTTTTGGAGACGAGTGCTCTACAAGTGAAGCGAGCAGTCTAATTTTGTTTTAAAATTGTGTGATTTAGAAGTTGTACGATTTATGTACATGTTATAACTGGGTTACTTCATTGAAAAATGAGGAGGACAACAGATTCTCTAATGCATATAGTTTGATTTATTGGTGCCTGTACCATACCAGACTTTCTTGTCTCGCTGTGGTTCAGTTAATTTTGGTTATTTTCTTCAAGTAAGCTTTGTTGTCGGGAATTTTTATTTAAATCCATATATATATATATATATTTAGGAAGCATAGCAACTACTGCAATCTTCATTCTTTATCTAATAAAACATTTTGGTCATGCATATCTATTTATCATGTTTATGGTACTCTTCTTTAGGGTGAAGATTTATAAATGAAAAAGATTCAAGGGTTTTACAAGAGGAATAATGTTAGTTAGGTAAATGACACATGTTGAATAAAATTAAAATATGTGTATTATGTATCCAAACAATTGCCCCTGAAAGATATTTGATAGAAGTTGTTTTCATTATATGGTAATGATTGTTTATAATATTTGGCTGCTTGATATCCAGTTGGAACTATTCATCCATATTCAGGATCAAAATAATAAGTGAGGTGAATATTTCTTGCTTTGTACTAAAACAACAATGAACATGCTGAACATGCTGAGCAAGATAGTTATATTGCTGTACATATAGATCCCAAGGTAAAAAATGTTCCCTTAAAATGCCTGTCACCCCATTTAGATGCATCATTCTGACTGAGCAAAATACTCTTGGCAGATTCCATAAAGAAAAGAAAATTTCCGTCAAAAAGAACAAATTAAGAAAAATAATACTAACTGTTATTTGAATGATAATATGTGAATGTTTTATTGAATAGATATGTTAAATAAAGCAAGAAAACCAATTATTGGATATGATTGTTTCCATCTAAAGTAGAAATGATCAAAACAAGTTGAAAAATGTGAAATGATTGACAGAAATTACTTCCCATTTTTTGACACAAGGTTTATGTTTTACAATGCTTTAAGTTGACACTGGTATAATGGTTTTTATTAGTGTAGTCTGAATATTCAAACATCCCTGTTTCCAAATCTTTTGCTTTTCTTTTGTTAAAAACATCTGTGATATATATTCTTTTCAATTTCAAATACCTTGCTTATTAAATGCTCATCTGTCAATAAATGTTATGATAGCAACACGTTCATAAAATCTTGCCACATCATTGTAGGTACTTATATAAGCCTGTTAAAATTGTATTTCATAATATACATTAAACATACACATTTTGGATCTTTCAATTTACTTTATTTAATCAATAGTTTTATCAAATCTGTTGCTAACATAAGTTCTGTCAAACTTGTCATCTTATGTTAGCAACATTTGGATGTGCTACAAATTAGAGTTATCTGTCCTGGGTTGAAATCTTGTTAAATGTCAGGCAGCAGTTTTTTGCAGGAGTTCTTAATATGACTTTCAACTAGGATAAGATCTCTAATATTAGTTAAAAATCTCAAATATATGTTGTCCGTCAAATTTATTTATGTTAGCACAATCTTATGTTAGCAACAAGTCCGTCAATATCTTATGTTAGCAACACTATTTATTCTGTCAAATCTTATGTTAGCAACAATAATGTCCGTCAAATCTTATGTTAGCAACAAAAAAGTCCGTCAAATATTATGTTAGCAACAAAAAAGTCCGTCAAATGTTATGTTAGCAACAAAAAAGTCCGTCAAATATTATGTTAGCAACAATAAAGTCTGTCAATTCTTATGTTAGCAACAACTTCATTTCTGTCAAATCTTATGTTAGCAGCATTGTTCATGTCTGTCAAATCTTATGTTAGCAACTCCAAAATAATCCTTTTTTAAAGTTATTACAATTCCTTTTTTATTGGTGCAGATGTTAGGAAATGTTTTATTCCAATTTGCCTTTCATATTTAAGCAAGATATATATACATCCAAACCTTGAAAATACTGAAGATATCAGGATTGTTTGTGTTGCTAACATAAGAATTTTCTGTCAAATTGTCTGTCAATTTTGTTATGATAGCAACATTTTTTTAAGGTGTTCTTTATTTAAAAAATATAATGTGAATAGATCTATTTTTTGTCAAAAAGTGTTTACTTATATAAGTATAACATGTATTCCAAAACAGAACTTCATTGGTGTTGATTTTGTTAAACATAATTTTGGGAATTTTTCAACTTTCTTATTTGGAATCTGCCTTTTATCTTTTGCTCCTAAAAGCAGCAAAGCATTTAAAACTTTATAGCTTGACTAGAAGTGGTTGAACCAATTACACACCTCTAATTATGATAAGCATACCAATCACAATACCATCACCTTAGTCTCGTTGGTAAATTCCCCATAAGAAAAGAAGAGTTCTGCTTGCATGCCAAAAGACTATTAGGGGGATATGAGGTTTCATCAAATTCAAATACTTCTGTGATTTTTAAAAAAAGTTCATGGGAATTTACAATTCATTTCATCCAAGACAGATAGGTATATGCCTGTTGAAACAAGGATCAGGGATGACCATGGTTCTTACAAATATTGATGTGTTTGTGGTCATCTAACGAAAGATTTTTAATTTTTGCATCCTAGAACAGGTCTTCAAAGGTAAAACGGAAGCATATCGGATAACTGTGTGTTCAATAACTACTTGTCCACGGCAATAATGTGACACAATTGCATGTTGGAATCCCAATTTTTGACTTTTTATTTACAAATTGATTTATCACATGTACGTTTGAAATGATCGGATCATTATATGCAAAAGAAAAGTGTCTATGTGAAAAAAAATTTAAATAGAGAAACTTATTTTGGAGTGGCATGCGGACCACAAATTTGCAGAAGCGGTAATTTTTTATTGAAAAGTCAATTTCTCCAAAACAGGAGCGGGAAAATCCAAAGAACTTGGAATTGAATTGGTGTGGCCTAATAATGTGCTAGTACAGTTAATTTCTGTAGAAATTGGGAAATTGGATTTCTGATATATTTAATTTTTTCTGTGATACATGTATATATGTTGCCAGATACAATATAAAATCAGTATTGGTAAAATAGGCAAAACAAAGATCAACACTGGGTACTTAAAGTCTACTGGTACCAGTTTGCTGGACGATGTTCCTGGTTCTTACGTTCTAGCATTTAACATGAACGTTTTGTTATAATGGTACTGTATTTTTTATTATAAACCAGTGAACCAGTATGTCCCTGGTAAACCCCTCTCACCTTTCATATGAATTCCGAGAAATGTAAATTTAACATTTAGGTGAGGCAATTGTGTAACACTGGTACATTTAGTTTTGCTTTTAAACCTAATGGTTGTTTGTTATTTTGTTTTCAGGTCTCAGATTAATAGATGATGAAACATTTGACTTTGATTTGGCTGCATCTCCAGCTGTAAGGTGAGTACATGATGTGAACAAATTTTTAAACCACGGAATATCTTTTCTTATATGGCATACTTAAACATCAATATGAATCTTCATGGTAAAATACTCAACGAACAACAGACAGCATAAATTGTTAGATCACAAAGGTTTTTTTTTGGGAAAGGCCTTTTTTGTAAATATTCTACAAATTGAAAGATTTTCACATGGAAATAATTCATATCCATGGTAAATATCAAACAAACCATGGGCTATGAAAGAAATGTTAAGTTTATGATGTTCTATAGAAAAATATAAATTTTCTTGGTGTTAAAGTTTTGTATCTAAAACTAAATTTGCAAATGTAAACCTAGCTATCTTAAGATTGTTTTCTTCCCTAGGATTGCCTTTACCAAGTAAGCAACAACCTTAGATGACACAGTTGCAACTAGCCCTAAATTTAAATATAATATTGAATGTTTTCCCTCTCCAGACAGACTCAAACTACTTTGTTTTTGCATTCGCCTTCTTAAATGGTGATCTTTGTGTAAAATTGAAATTGTAAAAGTAGATTTTTTTAGTCACTGATGCATTTGAAATAAAAATTCTCTTGTTAATGGGTAAATGTTTTAGTTGTTGAGATAAAAACTTGATATTTACATATAAGTACATTTTAAGATGAATAGGGAAAAACAAAACTGTTGGAACCATTGCTGGTTTGTTGTTATTCTTTCTAATATAAACAATATTAGCCTTCAGTTTAAGATAAAAAATACCTTTGACCTTAGCATGCTGAAGGTCCTTGTATCCACAAAAAAAGAAAATTCTTAGAAATTCAAAATGATCTTTAAATTCTTAAACTTTTATTAAGCTCCATTGCATTTATGAAAGATAAGATCTATTTCCTTTACAGGTTCTTTGACTTTTTACTCTATCTAAGCATAATTATGTTCATTGTCTGAATTTCGGCTCCTTTGCTTCTTCAATTTTTATCATTAATTTTTATTTGCAGAGCTGAAAATATTTCACATGAGGAGGAGGATGAAGTGTTTTTTGGACCAATTTGTTTTACGGAGCGTCTCAAACAAACTGTTGTTCAGGAAGTGGAGGTACCTCCATTGAGCCCACTAAATCCGGAACAGTTTGCCTTGATGGTTAAAGAAGCTAAAGATTTAGCATATAGAATAAAAAATTCTAAGACAAGTTCAGGATCTGAATCATCTCAATCTTTATCAAAACTATCTTGTTCCTCAACAGATGGGGAGGTATCCCCATCAATAAGAAAACATTCTAGATCTGGTACCTTCACTAAATGTCAGAGTCCATTAGAATTGTTACCAGAGGAAATAAGGAAAGTTTTACCAGTTATAGATGATTCTTGTAAAAAGTTACCAGATTGTAGTCAGTATGCTGTTAATAATGTAGAAAAGTGCACAGAAAATGCTGCTCGTGATGTTAGGGAAAGTACAGTAACTGATAATAGAAATGTAAAAATAAATGCTAATCCTACTCAACACAAAACAAGTGGCAGTAGATTACAACTTCCATCAAAACTTCAGGGATCAAAATTAGCCAAGCCATCACTTAAGGTAACTAATATTAATGATCAGAGTTCACATTGTCATATTCTTTGTCTTTTCAGTTTATGAGATTTTTGTCTCTCCTTAATGAAGTCATGTAGGCGAGTCCAAGGTGTGCTGTTTTCAGCAGCATCAGAGGTGGTGTCAACAATTTATTAGTTTATGATTAGGTCAGTTTAAGGGGAGCCACTAGTGGTACATCAATGATATTTGGTATGCAGATGACCCAATGGCCATCATATCTTAGCATTGGCATATCTCATTTCCATGGAGATTATTTGGCCCTTCCCCCTCAGCCATGGTCTATTGACTTTCAATTTTTAAAATAATTTACATGTTAAAGTTTGTGATTATGTCAGTTTAATATGATGTCAATTAAATTTGGTAAGCAGTTGCATTAGCGTTCCATAGATGTTGTTTTCATGGAGACTATATGCCCGGGGGGTTACTGACTATCCTTTCGGGTATAACTGTGCCGACAGCACTTGCCAAATCATACCCTGTTCTAACCAGAAAACATTGAAAAGCATACCCTGTTCTAAACAGAAATATTGAAAAACATACCCTGTTCTAAATACGCTCAGAAAATGTATACCCTGTTCTAGACACGCTCAGAAAATGTATACCTTGTTCTAGACAGAGACCTATATGTTCTAGACTAGTTCAGAAATATATACCCTGTCAACAAACAATTCATTAATGTAAGCAAAAAACATACTTGTGTCAATTTCCAATATCCAAACTGTTGTTTTTAACTCGATTTCAAAAAATAAAACTCATTTTTGTTATACATGTTTAATTCCATATTCAACCATCAAGTTTACATTATTAATATATCTAAATGCAAACCATCATTAAGAGCAGGAAAAACATAAAAAACAACCAGAAAGGCCGAGTAGTTCCGATTGGAACAATCTGAATCGGCATGGCAGCTGGTCCGGACCAGTTCAAGCAGGAACAGTCTATACTAACGCTAATATAGAATGTCCCTGGTACAAGTTAAAACAAAATAGAAATACGATAGTTTGGCATATTGTTAAACTGTTAAAGATGACAGTTGTTAAAATATGCACCGGAAATGATCCTGTTCTAGACCGTATAAAATAGATGCTGTTCTAGACTCGGGTTCTAGACTGTATCTTAAACAGTTAAATAAACGATCCTGCTCTAAATAAATACTTTGTTTAAAAAAAGACACTGTTCTCACCAACAGGGCATGAAAAAGCGACCCTGTTCTAACCAGAAGGACATGAAAAAGGGAACCCTGTTCTAACCAGCAGGGCATGAAAAAGCGACCCTGTTTTGCGGCACACTCATACCACTAAAAACATAGGATGTAACCACCCCGGGACTATATGGCACTGCCTGTTCATTGACTTTGAAACTTTTGCATAGTTTAATTTACATGTAAAACTTTGTGTTTAGGTCAGTTCAAAGGGAACCACGCATGATCAGTCAATGGTGTTTGGTATGCAGTTGTATTAGCATTGACATTTCTCATTTCCAGGTAGATTATTTGGCCCTGCACCTTCAGTCATGGTTCATTGACTTGGAATGTTTTGCATAGTTTACATGTTTAAGTATTTAAAGTTTAATCAGCTTTCATACAGCAAGCAAAATAAATCAGTAAAAATATGAAAACCAACCATTTAGTCAGTATGGAAAATTCTTACTTGTATTTTCAAAGAATGGGTAATAAAACAAGTTTTTGTGTTAACTTTTACAAATTAGACTTGTTAAGGCTGAACAGGGCATAACAAAAATGTACAAATAAAGTTCACAGATAATACAAATTGGGGTTTGAAATTACATATATATTTAAACATGTAATTGCTATTATTTTATTTTTCTTCATAGTATGGCAGTAGTTGTGAAAGCTTGGATGGGAAAGAAAACAGGATTAATGGACATGAATCTGACAGTAACTGTAGTATAGCCTCAGACTGTAGTGATGTATCTGTTGGCAAAAATAGTCAAAATAAGGTAACTGTCCACCTACTCTGCAGTATAGCCTTAGACTGTAGTGATGTATCCATTGGCAAAAATAGTCAAAATAAGGTAACTATCCACCTAGTCTCTGCAGTATAGCCTCAGACTGTAGTGATGTATCCGTTGGCAAAAATAGTCAAAATAAGGTAACTGTCCACCTAGTCTCTGCAGTATAGCCTCAGACTGTAGTGATGTATCTGTTGGCAAAAATAGTCAAAATAAGGTAACTGTCCACCTAATCTCTGCAGTAAAGCCTCAGACTGTAGTGATGTATCCGTTGGCAAAAATAGTCAAAATAAGGTAACTGTCCACCTAGTCTCTGCAGTATAGCCTCAGACTGTAGTGATGTATCCGTTGGCAAAAATAGTCAAAATAAGGTAACTGTCCACCTAGTCTCTGCAGTATAGCCTTAGACTGTAGTGATGTATCCATTGGCAAAAATAGTCAAAATAAGGTAACTATCCACCTAGTCTCTGCAGTATAGCCTCAGACTGTAGTGATGTATCCGTTGGCAAAAATAGTCAAAATAAGGTAACTGTCCACCTAGTCTCTGCAGTATAGCCTCAGACTGTAGTGATGTATCTGTTGGCAAAAATAGTCAAAATAAGGTAACTGTCCACCTAATCTCTGCAGTAAAGCCTCAGACTGTAGTGATGTATCCGTTGGCAAAAATAGTCAAAATAAGGTAACTGTCCACCTAGTCTCTGCAGTATAGCCTCAGACTGTAGTGATGTATCCGTTGGCAAAAATAGTCAAAATAAGGTAATTGTCCACCCAGTCTCTGCAGTATAGCCTCAGATTATACTGATGCATCAAACTGCAAAAATAGTCAAAATAAGGAAATTGTCTACCCAGTAATTGCAGTATAGACTTAGAATCTAGTGTTGCTTCAAAGGCAAGGTAACTTTTCCCCTGGTCTCTACAGTATTGCCTCAGAATATAAAGTGATGCATCAAACGCCAAGGTAACTGTTTACCCAGTCTCTGATGTATAGCCTCAGACTGTGTCACTGTAGTGATGTATCCAATTGCCTAGAATAGCCAAAATGAAGTAACTGCGCACACCATATCAGCAGTACAGCTTCAGATTCTGGTGGTGTTTCTAACAGCTAAAATAGTCAAAATTAGGTAACTGCCTACACAGTGTAGTATCAGCAGTATAACCTCAGACACTAGGTGTATCCAATGGCTAAAATAGTCAAAATTAAGTGACTGACTACACAGTATCAGCAGTATAGCCTTGGACTCTTAGTGGTGTATCCAAAGGCTAAAACAGTCAAAATTAAGTGACTGACTACACAGTATCAGCAGTATAACCTCAGACTCTAGTGGTGTATTTAAAGGCTAAAACAGTCAAAATTAAGTGACTGACTACACAGTATCAGCAGTATAACCTCAGACTCTAGTGATGTATCCAAAGGCTAAAACAGTCAAAACTAAGTAACAAACTACACAGTATTAGCAGTATAGCCTAAGACTCTGACTATAATTCAAACAGTGAAAATAATCAAAATAAGGTATTTACCAGGCTACCAGCTCTATAACTGTGCTACAGCTCATGACTGCAGTGATGTACCTAACAGTAAAAAGAGTCAGAATAAACCTACTCATTGGTAGTAACTGCAGTATAGCTTAAGGCTGTATTAAAAATAATGTATTTATAAGATATCTTCCTCCTATGTCACTGTAGTATAGACTCAAAGGGGCCTCGGTGGCTGAGTGGTCTAAGTAGTTGAACTTCTGTATCACTAGCCTGTCAACACTGAGGTTATGAGTTCTAATCGTGCACTTGCAGGTGCGCTCTACTCCAATCTTAATTGACTAGGATTGTCAGTCTCCTGACACTCCGGCTCCTCCACCAATTAAAACTGATTGCCACTAAATAACACAATAGTGCTGAAAATGGCATTAATCACTAATTACTAGTTACTTTAGTTACGTTACAGTCTTTGACGTTAACAATAAGAGTTGCATAAGTTAGTGTCTCTGTTTTGCGGCTAATTCGTAATACTCCGGCCAAAGGAAAGTGCAAAAGAAAAAACTTAAATAAAATCGAAAATTTCAAACATTCACATTAAATTTAAATCACTTTAAAGTCCATGTATTAAAACAAATAACTTCTTTAAAGTTCATATATAAAGAAATTAAATTTACTGAACAGTCTCTATGTAAATCACAAACATGAAATTACAATGTCCATTTATCTTCCTTTGATCGACGAAATTTGGTAGCCTTTTCGATTTAAAAATGTTCATTAGAAACTTCAAGTCAATGAGTATATTTGATCAATTGGACGATTAGTAAATCCGTTTTTTCCTTGATCGGCTACTACATAATTTCTTTATTTCTGGTTCCCTGCTCAGTCTACTGATAATTCTCGATGTTCTGTTCTTGGTTACGTTATAGGTCCTCGGTAGGTCAGGCAAATTCTCTTTACATGGTAATTTTGTTCTATAGTGATTGTCGCGATGTGATAGAGTTGACTCGTATGTCTCGTAGTAGTGTTTGTCCTTGTTTGTAGATTCATCACACGTTACTCCTGCAGATTCCAATTTCCAAAATAGCTCCAGATATTCCCCTTCCTTCTTGTGTTGTACCAATACATTCAACGTAGCAGCTGTATTATTGATTCTTCTATTGTTGGCATTGGTCCAGACAATAAATATCCCAGTTTTGACTTAACTGCAGTGGGACCCATTCCTCGTAGTATATCGTTTTCAACGATGTCCCAGTAGTAATCTGCTCCAATCAACATAGCTATATCAAAATGTTCATCCTCACTCATAGGATGGGCCAATTCTATACCTTGAAGATATGACAACTTTAATGCTTCGTAATGGGGACGATTTGATAGCGGTGCGGCGTATGTTGGTACTATGAGTACCTCCATTGATAATTTACCTCCATGTATAGTCTCCAAATGAACAACGGCTTTTTCTAGGTTTCTTACATTACGATTAGTTTCTCCAAAGGCAGCGAGACTGAGTGTACTCATTCCACAGGGTTTTAATTGTAACTGTTTTGCTAGATCCTCCGTGATAAAAGATTGTTGTGACCCTTCGTCTAAAAGAATATTTGTTACAGTGGAATTATTGCCTACTAAAACTTGTGATACTGCTGTCTTTAAGAGTACGTCGGTTCTCTGTTTCACGGGATTTTCATACGATGTGTAAACTGTAGCTGTGTGTGTTTCTACTTCACTATTTATAGTATTTACAGCTGCGCTTGTTTGTCTGGTTGTTTGGTTCTCAGTGTGTTGTTTCTTATGACATAAGCTAGTGTGATGCTTTCTGTTGCATATACGACATGTATATTTTGACGTACACTCTGAAATTTTGTGACTTCCAAAGCAGTTAAAACATAACTTTTTCTGTTTGATAAATGCATAGCGCTTTTCATTCATTGCTACTTTTGTGCAGTCTGATGCAAAATGTGGTTCTTGGCAAAACACGCATAATTTTACCTTATTTATTTTGTTCTTATTTCCTCCGTTCTGTTGTATACTAGTGTTGTACCTTGGTGTTGCTGCAATATGGAATGATGCGGTAGGTGTCAAAGTGTCGGACATTTTGAAATTTCCTGCTTCCTGTATATATGCTTCTTTGACAATGGCTTCTCTCAATGATCTAATATCCCAGCTATTATTACAATGCTCCCGAGTTAGACTTTTACGCATTTCAGTGGGAAGTTAACCAAATATAATTGGTACAAGTAGTGTCCCAAAGGTATCTTGAGATTGTCCCATAGACTCTAATCCCCGTATACTGGTTTCCATTTTATCGTAAAAGTATCTAATGTTTGTTGGTGAGAGTGACAGGCTGGGCAGTTCCAATAAGTTTTGCATGTATGCGTTGATAATGTGTTGTTTTTGTCCAAAACGCTCCTTTAATAGATGAATTGCTTGTTCATAGTTGGCACTAGTGAGAGCTAGTGCAGAAATGCATTGCTCAGCTTCCTAAACGATTTGGGATTTTAAGTAGCTGAATTTCTGTACATTCGTGAGAGACAGATTTGTGTGTACTGTTGTTTGGAAAGAATCCCAGAAGGTTTGCCATGCTAAGATATCCCCGGAAAATGTCGGTAATTCAAGTTTAGGTAGCCTGTGATAAAAGTTTGACGGGATTACGGGAATATGTTGTGACGGGTTTGTTTCTAAATCTTCATCAGTTTGATTACAATTCTGATTGAGTATAGTATTAGTAGTGTGATGCGATGAAGAATGTGCATAATCACTCACCATTTGTTGTGATACACTTGCCTTTGAGTCTGACAGTATATCCTTAAATTTGCGAATGGTGATTTCCATCTGAAAAGTGTAGTCATCCGTATCTAATATTTCTTGTTCCATTTCTCTGACTTCCGTAATGTCAATAATCTTGTTGTCCAAATCCTGTGAAACGTCCCTTTTCTTCTCGAGTGTTTCAACTGTTGCACATAGTTCCTGGTTAGAAATGTCATTTTCGGCAATTTTTTCATCTGTTCTATTTATAAGTCTGGTGACGGGGCTTCTGTGTCCGCCACATATAGCCTTAAACTTCTCCATAAGTCACGGCACCAATGTTTGGGTTTAGTGGTAGTACTTCGCTTGTGTAAATGATAGAAAGACGTGTGTATATTTCAAACTCTGTTTACTATACTGACTAGAGACGTTATGCATACAATAAGCGTAATAATGATATGACGTTACAATATGTTACTTTAGTTACGTTACAGTCTTTGACGTTAACAATAAGAGTTGCATAAGTTAGTGTCTCTGTTTTGCGGCTAATTCGTAATAATAGCCTCAAACGCAAGTGATGTATTAGTAAGGCAACTTCCACCCCTGCTGTACATAATTGTTAATAATAATCATCTTTTACTTTTATTTCAGTGTATAGGAAAAACAGGCATTCCTAAAACATCAAGATTGAAGGCTCCAGGAAGTAGGTTAAATGGCTCTTTTAACTCATCTTTGAATAATTCTCTCAATACATCTGCGAACAGTTCAAGGGGCATTTCTAAGATAAGGCAGTTAGCTGTTCCAAAGTCTGCAAGTAACACAGCAAGTAAAGGAGTCACTCCTAAATTTGGAGCACCACCTAAAAGCAGCAGCTCAGCTAATGTCCAGAAAGTTGAACCATCAGAGTCTAAAGACAAGAAACAGAAATCATATGAACCACCCAAAAGGAGTTCACCAAGACTTCAAGCCAAGCAAGGTTTGAATGATAGTAAACAAAAGGCTGGAATACCTAGTTTGAAGGGGCCTTTTGCTAAGCAAAGTCTAATGAATCCTGGAGAATTACAAAAAAGGGTCCATAAAACTGTGACTGGTAATGGTCCACTGAAAGCTATGCAACCATTGGATATAGTAAATAAACCTATAAAGAGCAAACCAGGTGAGATAGGTCACATGGATTTAATATATTTATAAAACTGTAGAGAGCCATTCAGGTGAGTTAGGTCACAAGGATTTTATACTTATATATTCAGTGTTAGTGGTTTATGCACATACAACTAAAATTTCATACATGTATATTCCATATGTGTGATTTAAACAGGTAATAATAATTTTGTACATGTATATTTTAATTATGAACAGTGTATTATTTCATGTTTTACAGCTGCCAACATAAGCATGAGTGTTAGTTGTATTTCTATATCTGTATATCAGCTGATTAAGTACTTTGAGCTTGCTTTCAGTAACTGTTAGACACTATTTGACATAATTTTTATTATTGTTTAACTTGCTGTTGTGTTTTTGTCATTTGAGTGCAATACATATACTTTTTAAAAGGTTTTTTTTTCTGAACTGCTTTTTAGCATACCTTCTATTTTTTACCTTTAGTTATTCTCCTCATTGATAAAAAGAGGAGGATCGAGTAGTAAAAAAAAACTATTTTAATCTATATACTACTATGCCTGTCCAATGTCCGGAACTTCTGTGTGTCTGTTTTTGTTTTGATCTTTCTCGTTTTCGTCTTTTAAAGATATTTTGTGTTGATGGATCTTTTATAGTCTGTTAGAATCCAATTTGTCTATATAAAAGATGATTTATGTGTTGATGTATGGTATGAGTACTTTTCCGTTTTTGAAAGTGGAATACATTGTATTGCACTTGAAGAGAATTTGAAGATAGAACAATGTCTCATTGACATATACCTATGTCTATTTTTCAGATTGATGCATGTTGTTTATACAGATAAGACTGATTTTATACATGTATGTGGTTTTTATGCATACAAACATGGGTATCGTGCATGTAAAAACTATGTTTCTGGTATATACCCATACAGACATTGATTTCATACTTGTAAAAACTATGTTTCTGGTATATACCCATACAGACATTGATTTCATACTTGTAAAAACTATGTTTCTGGTATATACTCATACAGACATTGATTTCATACTTGTAAAAACTATGTTTCTGGTATATACCCATACAGACATTGATTTCATACTTGTAAAAACTATGTTTCTGGTATATACCCATACAGACATTGATTTCATACTTGTAAAAACTATGTTTCTGGTATATACCCATACAGACATTGATTTCATACTTGTAAAAACTATTTATTTCCTACTTGTAAAAACTATTTATTTCATACGTGTAAAAACTATTTATTTCCTACTTGTAATATCCATTAAACAGTTAGTGTTTTCTATATTAGTAATCCTGAAAAGTGACACCATTGCATTAATTTCATTGGATTGGCCACATCTTGGAACAATTAATTTTTTGTGTTCTTTTATCAGCAATAGGAATATTTATTGACATACTATAAATTAGTAGAATTTGTAGTATTTTCTCGGAACAGAAGCTCCAAATTGTCTGAAAGTTCTTGATTGATATAATAAGATTTGAAACTGTTTAATATGCCCTTTAGTGTATTAATGGGGAAGAGTTTTCTTTTATATCAACAGACCTTTTTTAAATTTTACTTTTTTAGACAAAAAAGCCACTACAAGAATGAATACCAGTGTTTCTACTCCAGTTAAACAGGACAAGTGTGTCAAACCTAAACTGCTGGCTAATAATTTTAGGACACCAAGTAATTCAAGGTATGGTAATTATCTTTAGAGCAAATGTTTATTTAAATACATATACAAAAAACATCATATTTTATGGTATGCTTTAATAATTACAAGGAATTTATTGTAAGCACTTATAGGTTTTAATAAAATTTTCTTAACATTATTGTAAATTGAGGTTGAACTGCATTGGCACACCACTTTTCTTTTAATATTGCTGACAAACTCAATTTTAGATTTATAGTAAAAATTATAGACAGCTTGGGAATAAAATGAAAACAAAAAAGGAATACTGTGGATTCTTTGTTATTCACGGGATACCATTTTTTTTGTGGATTTCTCAGGTATTGGTAAACCCCAAACTGAAATATTCAACTAATTACACATTTTCTTAAGGCTTGTATATAGACTTTGGCTAATCCACCAAATCAAATATCCATGAAAATTCACTATTATATGCAGACATGTTTAGATGTATTTTTTAGTGAGAATTTGCTTTATTTCCCAGACTAAGAAGTAAATCAATGTTTTTTTACAGGCAATATTTTGCCTTTTAACAATTCATGAAAGTTATTTTCAGAGCAGTTATTTTCAGAGAAGTTATTTTCAGAGCATGGTATATTAAAATGTTCATTCACAAATTTTTTTTGCTATTTACAAATTAAGGCTATTAATATATATTGTTCCACATAATCAACTGACATATAAATGACTTTATATTCAAAAAGTATGGATCTCAACTATCAGTAAAGATACAATGTATGTGTTTATGACTTCTAAATTTCAGGTACTGCCTCAGTGGTCTCATGGTAGTGGGTTTGATTCCTCGACTTGGTCAAACCAAAGACTTTTTTAAAATTGGTGTTTGCTGCTTCTCTGCAAAGTACAAGTTATTAACCCTTAGACTGCTGCATACATTTCTTTTGTACTTTTGTGTATTGTTACTTTTTTTATCAAAATTTTTCACTTTTGGTTTTGTTGCTTATAGCTGATTTAAAGTCAAGAGAAACTCAAAAATATGCGGAATTTTCACTAATCGAAATTCATAAAAGTCTAAAATGCCTTAAAATACTGCTTTATTGGAATGACAATAGTCGCACATAGCAGTCTATGGGTTAAGGATTAAGAACAAAGACTTCCTGCAGACTGTTACCTTGTGGACTAGCACATTAAAAAATGAAATAAAAACAGTGTGTCAGTCTAGTACACAGAAGGCTTCATATTCATATCGCATTAACATATTCTCATCCTAAATATGCATTTAAATTTTCCACTAGACATTAAACAGACATCTATCATCATCATCTAAATGTCAGGTAAAATTTTATCTTTTTAGCTCAACAAGTACTCCGTTATCTAACAGAAGGAGATCCTGTTTGCCAACACCACAGAAGTCATCTAGAGGCTCTATTGGATCTGTACCAGAAAGGTAGGACTGCCTCTGATAACCATACAAAAGCATTATACTTGATATTTCCTACTCCCTTATTAAGCATGCAATATAAAGCAGTATAAGTTAAAATTTTCAAATGTTATCATATAGTAAATTGAATAACATTTTTACAGTATGATACTTAAGATTAATCTAGTATTGAAATAGGCATGTTATTCTTATCATGAAACAACATGGGATATTGACTGCACATACAATTTACTTATGGGAAATGCAACATTTAAATGTGATTACTTGGATAGTTATAAAGTTAAAGTGTATTTCTTATATTTCCAGGGAGTTGAAAAAAATATAACTTGCGATAAGTAATATACTGTTTTTTCTTCATGTACACAATATAAACAAATCATTACCTGGCTTTTTTTGTTATATCAAATCTTTTATCAGCCCACATGGATGTTGGATTCCTGGCTGATATCATGACTTAGGATGTTGATAGATTTTATATAAAAAATTCCATGTAAAGTATATCAGATTAATCTTGTATTTACAGATTTTTATCAAATTGAGTGTGTTTTTTCCAGCTTCAGAAGCAATCTTATAAAAGTTAAACAAATTGAGAAAATGACTCATGAGATTTGAGCACTTCATCATGACTAAGCCAACTACCATTTTGTATTTCAGTCCTTTATCAAGAAGAGGTGGGAGCGGCAATTCATCACGACTAAGTCAGCTCTCATCCTACAGTAGTATATCAGAATCACCTGTGTTTAACAATAGTGTGTCAAAATCAACAACCAAGAAAAATGGACAGGTATTGTAAAATGTCTCTGATTGATTAAGATGTATTTTTTTTTTTAAATTCTATTTTTTCCTCTGTTACAATGAGAAATAAGAAACAGTGATGTTCAGTGTTTATCCATCTAGGTCTGTCAATATATGAATTGTGTGACTGAAAATCCCTGGAAAACTTTAAATGGATGCCATTCATATTCTATAGGTTGTTTGTTTTGATGATAGATTCCAACATATTTAGATTTTTCAGGATTTTTGCATACTTTTTCCAGTAATGTTGGTATTTTATATGTATATTGAAAATAAAAAGTCCAACTGTCATATCTTTTGTGTCTTAGAAAATTGATAAATGATTTAGAGTATTTCATTTTAAGCTTATAGTATTTCATTTTAAGCAGCTTTTCAAAAAAAAAAAAAAATCAGCTCATTAATTTGGGGTGGTATGGCAGGCAGCTATTATTGCTGTTTCTGTACTTGAGATCTGTTCAACAAATGCATTTCAAATTTTGATATGTTTTAATTGATCACAAAATGAAGGTCAATTTCAATATTTATGATTTTCACTTCTGCTTTTCTTAAGTTAAGGGCCTTGATGATTGGGACATGACACTTAATGTTGTTTTCCATACAATAATTTGAGAAGAGTTTAACCAATATTTTTTTAATTATAAAATGTTGTAACTGATGACAAAATGGAGGTCAAGTTGGAAATTGATGTTTTTCATTTTTGCTGAATTTTGGTCAATATTTGATAAGGAAATGAAAATTTATGTCAGGTTTTGTGCAATAACTTTAGAATGCTTCATCCAATCCTTTTTAAATTTTGATATGCTTTTTCTTGTGACAAAATGGAGGTCAAAATTGGTTTTTATGATTATCGCTTATGCCCTTCAGAAGATATTGCCCTTTATTAACAGTTTTTTATCGCTGTCAGTTTTTATAGTCACTTGTATTATTTGTTAAAAAATATATTTTATTTGTTATTTCAGTGCTCAAACTTGGTTGAAATAAATGACAAGTCACCAAGCAGTATGAAAGTAAGTCTTAGTTTGATTGTTTATGACAGTTTATGTGTAGAATATTACATCCTGTTTTTTGCCAGACTAGAAGCAAGACTAAAAATATAGAGTGATTATAGGCAAAGGGCAGTAATACTATAAAATTATAAATCCAATGCTTACAAAATTTGAAATGCACAGTTGCACATTTTATAAAGCAATTGTATCGTTTGGTTCCAATCCATTTGAGTTGTATGAGATTTGCAGAGGCAAATTGTTTAATATTTATAACATGGCAAATAAAATGGTTTTCAATGGAAAACAACAATAATCGGACTAGACATTGTAAAAGGGAGTTTTTCTATCAATGTTAACTCTGGATTTTGAATTGATAATCTTTTTTTTTTAATTCTGTTTCTTAAATTTGTGTGTGGATATTTTGTGTTCACAAACTTTTATAACAAATAGATCAAGATCAATCTGTTGTCATAGATATGGTGTGGAAATGGCAAAAGAACTGCACGGCAAATGCCAAATATTATGTCTTCAATACTTGCAATGAAATATTCATAAAAAAGAATAAACTGTTAGCTAAGGTATCTTGAATGAAATGTCTATATTTTGCATATTAGGTTGACAGATTTCACTAACAGGTAAGAATGGTATATTCTTTACTATGCTTTGACAGGTGTCATCTCTGCATGGTTATTTATATATTTAAGCTTATATCATATATATGCCAATTATACTCAGACTAAAAATTGTTTCTATTATGATCATCATGTAACAACTAAATTCAGAGTTTGCAAAAGACACTGGCTAGATGGGTAAAACCAGCAAAATGCTTTTCCAACCAAGTAAATGAGACTTTTAAAGGACATAATTATTGATTGTTCAGTGGAATTTTGTTCTGGTATGTAATATTTCTACACCGAACCAAATGTCCAGAGAGCATGGTCTACCTTTGGTAACACTAATCTATGATCTTCTTTTCTCTTTTGATTGATTTTGGTCAAGTTTTTCAAATAGTTTATTTCTTATACCCTGGATTATTTTATCACTATCTATGTACTCTGTAATATATTAAAAAGTCTAGCAACATTTAGGTCACTACATCATAATTTTGCACTTGAGTGACTTTTGCTAAGTTTACCATTTTAGGTCTATATATATAGTAACACCCACTATGATTTCACTGCTTGGAATAATTTCAGTCTACAAATCGGTGCATTACATATGTGCTGATTTGCTTTACATTTGCGCGAGAAATATCATTACACTTGTGTAGATTTAAAAATAGTAATTTACAGGTCAAAAGGACATATACGAACTGTTTTGTCCCTCCCAAGGGTACTTGTAAGGTGGCTTTATATAGTAGTGATTCCAGACATAACGGTGGTTCTAGTTCTGGTTTCATCATAAACGTACTTATTGTCCAAATGAATTCAACAAATTGAATGGATGTTCCCTCAGTATAAAATATGTAAATCGACTTAAAAGTAAGTTGTATCTACTAGCAAGGTTAATATACAGGTAGATCTGTAGGTTTGATTCAAGCAAATCTTATATTTTTTTTCACACAAATGTAATGTCTGTTTATCCCCAAATCCGTTCAAATGTAATATGCCCGTACAAACATTTAATCTATTTTTGATTAATATGACCTGCAATTTTGGCCTAAAGGAAAATTTAAGAAAAATAGAACAAAGAGGTAATGCCAAATCCCCAAATCTTATTTCACACCTCGGTCATTTTCTAAAAGTATTTCAATTTTTACTTAAATTCAGACTATTATATATTCATATATGTACTTTAAGGCTCTAACAACATTTTGGCTGATTTCAAATTATGACCATATTATAAATGTCAAAAGATGGGTGAAAATTGCTTATTTCATAAATCTTGGAAAAAAATTTAACAATTAACCCGAAAAATGTTTAAGAAGCACAAAAGAAATTCTATTAGCAGTAATTCATTTTGGTTAAAGATGTCATACAGTGCAAAATTTTACAAAAACATGTAAAATTTTTAGTACTGTCTTCAACAGCAATGTTTCAGAGAATAACATTTTGTACCAGATTTCCTTTCATTCATCACAGTGGAATCCTTTAGGAGCAGAACCTATATGTATTTACAGTAATTTATTTATTATTTAATTTGTTCTTGTCCTGAACATGCTTTAGGTATTTACCACTGAGCCTTAAACAAACAATGATCAAATGAATTACACAGCCAGCCATGTCGGTGAAAATATAATAAAATCAGAAAGACAAAAATTATCTGCTTTACTTTTTCCATTTCATCCATCTCATATCTTGTTTTTCATATAGCACTCTATGTTATTAGGAAACTAGAGTATGTATTTGTTCTGAAGTAACAGGACTGGTAGTAATAATGGCCTTTTTAAATTCATTTATTATACCGCTGCAAACAATGTTTTTTGGAAGTATATAGGTATCATCCTGTCTGTCCGTCTGTCCATGTGTGTTCAACGTGCAACATCCCCTGTACTAATTTTGTGAGTTCCTTCAAGTTCTTGTTTTTTTAGTTTTATGCATTTCAGCATATATAGATCTGACTCATACTTGTAGTCACAAAAGAGTCTTACATTCAGTCAATACATTTGTAGCATGATTAGAACTGATTTATGCATAAATCTTACCAGTTACCATTGCAGATTTCAAAATTATGTGGATAATAGCCCTTACAGCTTGCTAAAGCGTTTGATTTGTTAATCCTTACCCAGCTATAATAAAATGCCTTGCTATGTTGGAAGTGTGCATTAATGTTGAAAACTGTATATTGCCTCTTTTTGTTAAACACTGTATGTTGCCTCTTAATGTTGAAAATTGTATGTTGCCCTTTATTGTCCCCCTCGTAATGCATTGCGGGGGACATGGAAATACCGGGCATCCGTCTGTCTGGTTTTGTTAGCGCTCTCACAGGTACAATTCTTGCCAGATTTTTATGAAACATATACTTTAGGTTAATATCAGCAATACCGCATAGCGGGTTATTTTCACGGAGTGTAAATTTTCGCGGATTGAACAAACTCGCCAAAATAAATTCCGCCAATTTAAAAGTGTACATGCAAAGGTATTGATTAAGTTTTGAATCCGCCAAAATAATAACCGCCAAAATATTTCGTATACCTTATTCAAAGAAAATCGCGAAATTTTACACCCGCGAAAATAAGCCGCTATACGGTATCTTGGACAAGTTCTATAATGGTGGCCGATCGACTTTTTTTAAAGAGTTATGCCCCTTGGAAATATTAAATTTATGGAAAATGGCCTCGTTAGCGCTCTCAATGGTACAATTCTTGCCAGATTTTTATAAAACTTATACTTAAGGTTAATATCAGCAATATCTCGGACAAGTTCTATAGGAAGTTCACCACTAATTCATGGCCCCATTGCTTTCTATGTTAAATTCCTCAATTTCAATCAGCCACAGCTCTTTTGTCTTAATTTCAAATAAAGTGACAATCATTGCATGTCAGAGCAACACCTTATGGTGTATTGTACTGAAAAAAATCAACATACCTTTAATGGCATATAAGAGAGGACTGGTTACCAAAACAGGTACTTCAGATCTGACAAACAGGCAAAATGTACCCTCCTTTTTAAATTTCATGCAATTTTTTTATTATTCAAAATTATAAGTCAAAAAGTGTTCTACAATGATCACCAGTCATTCAGCTTTCATTTGATACCTAAATTAACAAAATATTCTACTTAGTTTGAAAGTTACACGTAGGAACTATTTTGTGTTAAATATGTACTACTTTCTGGTATGTGCTTTCTGACTGGGCACGAATTAGTGGTGTTACACTTATAATGGTGGACCAATGACTTTTTTAGCTCACCTGGTCCAAAGGGCCAAGTGAGCTTTTCTCATCACTTGGCGTCCGTCGTCCGTAAACTTTTACAAAAATCTTCTCCTCTGAAACTACTGGGCCAAATTTGACCAAACTTAGCCAAAATCATCATTGGGGTATCTAGTTTAAAAAATGTATCCGGTGACTCGGCCAACCAACCAAGATGGCCGCCATGGCTAAAAATAGAACATAGGGGTAAAATGTAGATTTTGGCTTATATCTCTGAAACCAAAGCATTTAGAGCAAATCTGACACGGATAAAATTGTTAATCAGGTCAAGATCTATCTGCCCTGAAATTTTCAGATGAATCTGACAACCCGTTGTTGGGTTGCTGCCCCTGAATTGGTAATTTTAAGGAAATTTTGTCGTTTTTGGTTATTATCTTGAATATTATTATAGATAGAGATAAACTGTAAACAGCAATAATGTTCAGTAAAGTAAGATCTACAAATAAGTCATCTTGACCAAAATGGTAAGTTGACCTCTTAAGGAGTTATTGCCCTTTATAGTCAATTTTTAACCATTTTTCGTAAATTTTTGTAATCTTTTACGAAAATCTTCTCCTCTGAAACTACTTAGACAAATTTAACCAAACTTGTCCACAACCATCATTAGGGTATTTAGTTTTAAAAATGTGTCTGATGACCCCGCCCGCGAACCAATATGGCCGACATGGCTAAAAAATAGTACATAGGGTAAAATGCAGTTTTTGGCTCATATCTCTGAAACCAAAGCATTTAGAGCAAATCTGACAGGATAAAATTGTTCATTAGGTCAAGATCTATCTGCCCTGAAATTTTCAGACCAATCAGGCAACACGTTGTTGGGTTGCTGCCCCTGAATTGGTAATTTTAAGAAAATTTTGCAGCTTTTGGTTATTATCTTGAATATTATAATAGATAGAGATAAACTGTAAACAGCAATAATGTACAGCAAAGTAAGATCTACTAATAAGTCAACATGACCAAAATGGTCCATTGACCCCTTAAGGAGTTATTGCCCTTTATAGTCAATTTTTTACAATTTTCATAAATTTTGTAAATTTTTGTAAATTTTTACAAAATATTTTCCACTGTAACTACTGGGCCAAGTTCATTATAGATAGAGATAATTGTAAGCAGCAAGAATGTTCAGTAAAGTAAGATTTACAAACACATCACCATCACCAAAACACAATTTTGTCATGAATCCATCTGTGTCCTTTGTTGAATATGCACATAGACCAAGGTGAGCGACACAGGCTCTTTAGAGCCTCTAGTTTAAAAGAGTTATGCCCCTTGGAAATATAAAATATGTGCAACACAGGGGACATTGGAACTCTGTTCTTTTATGTCATTTAGTTATTTTTTGGTGGGTTGTTGCATAATGTGTGAATGCAACAACCCCGTCTATTCATAATAAATATTTGGGTGTATTCACAAAAACTAGTTAAACATTATGGTTACAGTGGTATAACATAAACCTCCCAAAAATATCTTGTAATTTCATTTCTATCGTATATTTTAAATGATGTGAATTCCTTCTTTGTCAATGCATGTTATTATAGGTGAATGTTATTGTGAATGTGTATTGGACAATATTTAAAATACTTTAAGATAAATTCTTCAATGAATTTCAAGACATTTCAGCTTCAAATATGTTACATATTGATTTAGCTGTTCTTAGCCAACAAAGTTATTTCTCTATTTTTCACTGAAGTTTGTTCAAAAATACTTTCATGAACGTGCTTGTTTTAAGATTTTGCTAGAATTTAGTGTTTAAATGTTATATTCAGTCATGCTGAAAAGGTGCAGGTCACAAATGATAGTGTGTGATTTTTCAAAGTTATGAGTGAATTATTGATTTAAAGATTGATATAACTTTATATTCATCTGAAGGCTTAGAAGAACAAGACTGTAAACAGAATGTTTGATAACAAGAAGATCATGCATTCTTTACAAGTTCAAGGCCCAATGTCATAGTCACAGATACACATTCAGTTTAAATATGTCCAGTGTATGTGTGAATAGAGGTTGTTACTGCTTCTCTGAAAAATAAGAATCATTAAGGAGTAAGCAAAAAACTGGTCAGCTCAGAGTCAGAAAAATATTTCCCAGTAGGGTGAAATGTCTTTCCTGCAGACTTTTATTTTGTGATATAGCACATTAAAAATATGGCTCAGCATGTGAGTCTAGTACAAAGCAGGGTTCATATTCATATGCACTAATATGTTCTCATCCTGAATATGCATTTGATTTGCCACTGGACGTAAAAGAACCATCCATCCATTCATTCATCAGATTTCCAGAAAATATGGCAATCGTAGTTGACAATTTTGAATTTTGTTTAACATTTTTACATTGATGTGAAAAAGAAGTGCACATTGTAATTTTATGAAGGAATTTCTAACTTTAATAAACATTTGGTTGTCAAATACATAAGATGATACTTTTTTATAATTACAGGCCAAATCCAGAGTGGTATATACCCCTCAACTTCCTCAGAAAGTACAATCTAAATGGTCTCCCATTAGACGACCTAGGCCTATCAGCAAGGATGAAGAAGTTATAAAGTGCACTAAAAGAAAATTGTGATTGTTTTATTAATAAGTTTTTAATTTGTAATTATAATAATTAGCCATATATGTAGTGCATACTTTGATTTTGTTTAAAATTTCCTCTCTCACTTTCTTTCTAATAGTGTCATGATGTTATAGATAAATAGTTGTATTATTTGTAGAAGAAAAAAAGATAATAGTTCAAGATGGAATATTTTGGTTGCTTTTGTCTTTCAGAAATTACATTCTATCATTGCTAATTGTATATTTAGGGACCAGAAATTATTCGACTGATTTCTGGTTCCTTTTCTTGCTTAATAAAATTATTTTTTTCATAGATTTTTGTAATTGCAAATGAAAGGCAACATTGATTATTATGAAATTAATTAAAAGTTTTACTTATAAATGATAAATACATGACTTCAATATTTGAAAATGAATATGTATTTATTAGTGTTGTCAAATTGAACTGTTTTGACTATTAAACCGGTTACTCGGATAATTGTTCGACCGATTAACCAGTTAACCGATAGTTAAATTGATGTTTTAAAGGTCTTCAGTACTCTATAAATGCACGGTTTAATTATAAGATGAATTAAACTTTAAGGTTTGACATTATAAGGCTTTGCTTTGAGCAGTCTTGATAAAGTCTTATTTTTGATAATCCAATACTACCATATCTACTATGGCATTTGTAATAACTTCTGATTGAGAAGATGAAAATCGTCTTAATATCTTCTGATCTATAACCAGTGATTGTTTCTTTTCTCTGGTGTCCCAGAAAAAATATGCTGTGGAGTGTTTCAATTTAAGTTCATTAAGCTTGTTACTCATACCACACAGTATTAACATTAATTCCATTCACATAATTTGCGTTTTATCATTTTTGAGTCGGCATTTCGTTTAAAGTATGACAAAGCCTTAGAAGATGGAGCTGGCATATTTTCATGATCTACACGATATTAAAAGTAAAATAATGAAGTAAATCGTAAAATTTAATCTGTTCATAATACATGTATGCTAATTATGTTTACTACTTTAGATCTTGCCCCGAGCTGATATAAAAGTTGTCTTTGTGTTAATTAATTTTGCAAAATTGGAGTGTGTTCAAGGTTAACAATAGTAATCAATATACTGGACAATTGATCTGTCAAATTAATTAGCAAGACTATCATTTAAGAAAGTAATTAATGATTTCAATACGCATTTATAACAAATCTATTGAAATTGAAAAAAAGGTCTGGTTAACCAGTTAGCGTTTTTGGTATTCGATATTCGGTCCTTTCGACGGTTAACCGGTTAATCGATTAACGGATTAACCTTTGACACCACTAGTATTTATCTAAGAGTTAGTGAAAGAGAGAGTGAGATGTGATTTTACAATAAAATTAACATCTTTTTAACATATATTTTTGGTGCTTAGCATATCAGTTACACATGTAAGATAGTTTGTAAATTTTAAGTGTTTTTTTTTTTTTAATATCAGAGTTGGAGATACATGTACTTAACATTTAATGTAATTTTACTGTAAATATAAGTATTCAGGTATAATTTTTATTTAGCAATAGACTGTTTTATTATTGGTGAATGTTGCAGAATGAGAGACATAGGGATTCTAATCTGGGGGCGACATATTACTATTTGTGTAAAGCTTGATATTTCAGGTAGATGACATAGATACTTCATATTGTTCTGTATACAAATGCCTTATGTACTGAAGTTTTCGTCTGGCATACGTCTGTTGTCCTTGGCCAATTTTTGTGGTTCTGCAACTGCATAAAAAAATTGTATAGTTTTTTGCTATGTGAATTTCTCACTTGTTATGACTCTATTTGGTACATAGAAATTATTTTATTAGAATCATTGCAATGTGTACATGGACATGAGACAGGGTTCCCTCTGACTTCATTTCAGAGATCAGTGACCAATGTTAACTTTTTTTGGTTCGGTTCCTTTCGTAAATCATAAGCAATTGGGCAATTATAATTCATCTATGGAAAATTACTATTTTAAGGTGAACATGTCAGTCTGGCAAGGTTTATCTGACCTTGTTTTCATTTTCATGAATCCTTGGTCAATGTTTTTTTTGTTTTGTTTAGGTCCATTTCTCTGATACTATAAGCAATTGGTCAAATCTGTTAGGTGTATGGAATGATTGTTATGTGTGCATGTCTGTTTGGTGTGGTACACATAACCTTGACTTCATTTTCATAGTTAATTGTTCAATATTGAATTTTTGTGGTTAGTTCTGATACTAAGATACTATAATCAATAGCTGAACTTTATTTATTTTTAGGTGTGCATGTCTGTCTGGTAGGGTTCATCTGCCCTTGACCTCATTTTCGTGGTTCAAAGGTCAACATCAAGTTTTTTGTGGGAAAACTTGTTCTCAGATACTATCAGCAATTAGTCAGTTATATTTGGTCTATGGAATGATTCCAATTATAAATGTGTGCATGTCTATCAGGCAAGGTTTATCTGACCTTGAACTCACTGTCATGAATCTTTGATAATGCTAAGTTTATGTGTTACCTGTCAATCATGATCAGTAAAGAATGCAAAACATTTCAGCTTGTGCAGTGTTGTTTTGTAAGGAATGCAGTGCAGGTAAACTTGTTCAATTCAATATATCGATGCAAATAAAGTTGACTCCTTCCACAGGCTAAATGATCTTAATTTGATTACATGCAAAACAATTTGGATAGGAAAATTGAAAAAAAGCAAAAGCTTTGCATGAAAAAAATTACAACAAATGAACATTTGTTGAAAAATATAGAATTTATTTGTTAAATGTATTATAAAGAGGAGAGAATATCTTGCCTTTATTTTTTTTATTTTGTGTTTAAGCTGGCAATAATTTAATATTGTCACATAATGTATGCAATGTATTGTGTATGTGTTGATAAACACAATTAATAGTAACTTCAAAATCTCTTAAAGTATCAGTAGGACATAGTTAAAATGTTGTACAGTTGCTTTGCCTAATATGTAGATGTGCATATTATTTTTTGTGAAAATTTGATAATTTTGATTATTGTTAAAACTTAGTTTCTGTTAAAAAAAATGCTAATTTTGAGAAATTCTTTTTTTAAATGGACAATCTACAACATGAGTAGAGCTGGAACACAATTGTATGCAGTGTTTTAGATGTAGATGTGCATATAATTTGTTTGGTGGAAATTGGAAAAAAGAATTGAAATTTAAATTACTTTGTGTTAAAAAAAAACCACACAAATTTTGAGAAAAATGTTTTTGTGCTGGGATTTCAATGAAAATTGATATGCAAGTAAAATATAGGGATAATGCTATTCCAAATTGATTCCTTGTGTCACAATTTGTCATTTTGAAATGGCGGCCAAAATCCCTCAAAAAAATCATAGTGCTTGTATTTTTCACAAAATTTTATATTTAGGTAGAATATGAAAACATGAATTGGCTCATATTTTCAAAATATCTGTTGGCCTCTATTTTCAAAATGTATAAATTATTTGGGTCTGTGGCTCACACAAAAATGAGCAAACAGGGCTCTTGCTGACATGTCAGTTCACTAGTTCAGTACTATTTTGGACAGTAAAAATATGATAATTTTATAGCCTTTACCAAGGTTACAATCGCTTGTATTTAGTGCTTTAAATGTATCTACCGATCTTAAAACATTTGTCAGCTTAATGTCTTGTACTTACAGTATCTTAAAGAATACTCTGAGTCATTTAAAAACCTGTTATGGAAATGGTAAGATGATGATGTACTAATGATTTGTGTATAATGCATACTTGGCAGGATATGCAACGTGAGGGAGATTTGTGACATGTAACAAGACATCTAATTTTAACTCCTTGTATGTTTTACTGTAGATAACATGCAAGTTTCAATGTTTGAGAACTGTGGTTAATATAGTTCATTTGACTTTAATAGATCTTCAAAATATTGAAGACCTTATAGAATTAGAGCATAATTTGATTTGGGATAAAGTGTTTTAAGTAATTGTCAACATTTGTATAATCATCAGGGAAAAAAACTTATTGTAAAACATACGTAAGAATTTTTTAATCTATATTTGAATATCTATCGAAGCCAAACAGATTTTGATTAAACATGTAACTGTATCCTCAACATTTAATGTAGAAAAACAAATTATTTTACAGATGTGAATATATGCAAAATGACGTCAGTTTTGGAAAAAAATGAAATTTGATAAAATAGAGATTTATCCAAGTGTTTTTGATTGTAGTTAAAGATAATTTTTCAGGAATTAATATATCTTTATAAAGTGTGATATTCTGGACATTCAGTGTGAACTGCATAAATTTTACAAAATGGTGAATAAACATTTCATCAAATAAAATGTTTAACATAGACATTTTAGTTACATTATTATTATCCCAAAGATCTCTTTAAATATTCTCTAGAACAGGTCCATCTGTAATCTTGTGAACATGAAATTGCTTATTTTACCTGACATGCTGGTTTAAAATCAGAAATATCTTCTTATTCTCCTGCTCAAGTCTTTTTTTAAATGTGCTTAGTCATGTTTTTTTCTGACTGTTAATGACGTCTTTACACTAAATCCATTGGATGTTGGATGTGTACTGATTGATATTTTAGTATTAGATGCATGATGGTTGGGATGTATAAGTACCCTGCCACGTCCATTCTGTGTTTTTAACCGGATTTTTGAAGGAAATATCGTTTATTAAATTGGGGGTGTAAGGCGGGCGGAGGGGCGGCTGCCAAACAGTGTCTCCACAATAACATGAAAACACTTTAACAAATTTTTTTCAAATTTAAATATGTTGTTTCCTGGGACTTAATGAAGGTCTAGTTCAATTTTCAAGATTTTAGTATTTCTCCTTTTTGAGTTATCACCATTTTTAATATCCAAAATTGGTATTTTTAAATATTTTTCTCTCTTGTTATCAATTATGACTAAGATAAAGCATATGGTAAAAGACTTATCTCACAATTATAATTGGAGTGACAGATTTATTTGAAAATTTTCTGTTTCCTAATAAGATCTGTAGAACTGTATATATAAAGTTTGAAATTTACTAGTAGGACTGTATAAATGAAGGTTGAAATTTATTGTTCATTATTTGACACTTTGAAGATAATTACAGATAACTTTTATAGGTTTTTAAGAGATAGACATTTTGAAGTTAATTACATTACCAATAATTATATATCTAATGTTAGAGTACTTTGTTAAAAGGTTAAACCATAGTTCTGTTCAAGGGGAAATAACCTTTCAATTTGCAAGCATGATTCATTAGATAATAATCTACTATTTATAAGTTAAAATTAAGATAAGATAAGTTGCAGATCTATATAAGTATGTTACAGATGAAAGAAAAAATATTGGAAACTATCAACTATATATATAAAGTTTGATTTTGATTTATACACTAAATGATAAGATAACACACATCTGGTAATTTTCAATGCAATCACCCAATTATAATTGGAGTGACAGATTTATTAGAAAAATGTTATTTATATTTGATTATAATTTAAAAATAAATATAACATCATATCTCTTTACATCATATCTAATTTGAGAGTTTATGGTTAAATCATATTTAATTTTAGATTAACATGATTAGTTCATGGAAATAAAGTTTAAGTTATTTCCATTTAAACAGAAATGGTTTAACTAAGAAGTATTTCATCAAAAATTTAATTCTTGGGGTTCTTTGATATGCTGATTCTAGCAATGTACTTAGCATTTGGATATTGGACCATAATAGGTAAATGTTCAATTTCAAATTTTTCAATTCTTTGACCACATTTTTTTTGTGTCACAAACCCATGCTGTATTAAATATTCAATCACAATCCAAATTCAGAGCTGTTTTAAGCTTAAATGTTGTGTCCATACTTGCTCAACTGTTCAGGGTTTGACCTCTGCAGGAAAATCCGGTTTACTGTCACTCTGACAGCCTCTTGTTGTTAGATGTATTTCTATTTGTATCCATCTGATGAGTTAAGCTTTTTTCAACTGATTTTGTTGAGCCTGTGACTTCTGTCGCAGAAAGCTCGACATAGGGATAGTGATTCGGTGGCGGGGGCGTTAACTAACTTCTTTAAAGATTAATATTTCAGAATGTAAAAGACCTGGATGTTTCATACTTTGTATGTAGATGCCTTATGATATGAAGTTTCCATATGTCATATGTCCTGTGTCCTTGACCTCATTTTCATGGTTCAGTTACTACTTGAAAAAAAAGTTAAGATTTTTTGTTATGTTAATTTCTCTCTTATTATGAGTAATAGGATAACTATATTTGGTATGTGCGTACCTGGCAAGGTCCTCATGCCTGTCCGACAGTTTTCACTTGACCTGGACCTCATTTCATGTATCAGTGAACAAAGTTAAGTTTTCGTGGTCAAGTCCATATCTCAGATACTATTAGCAATATGTCTACTATATTTGGTAGATATAAGAAGATATTGTATGAGTTCGAATGAGACAACTCTCCATCCAAGTCACAATTTGTAAAAGTAAACCATTATAGGTCAAAGTACGGTCTTCAACACGGAGCCTTGGCTCACGCCGAACAGCAAGCTATAAAGGGCCCCAAATATGACTAGTGTAAAACCTTCCAAACGGGAAAACCAACGGTCTAATCTATATAAAAAACGAGAAACAAGAAACACTTATGAACCACATCAACAAACGACAACTACTGAACATCAGATTCCTGACTTAGGACAGGTGCAAACAAATGCAGAGGGTTTAAACGTTTTAATAGGTACCAACCTTCACCCTTATCTGAAACAATAGTGTAACATCACAACATAGAAAGACACACTATAAAATATCAATTGAAATGGCTTAACTCAATCAAAAGACATATTAACACAAGTGAACATACACTGAACGAATAAATTTGATCTATGATACAATGTAAATACAAAATCAATAAAACAAGGGGTGAATAAATAAAGGCAACAGTAGTATACCGCTGTGAGATGTTAAACAATTTCAAAAAAACAACAACAACCTTGAACAAAAAGCTGCCAAATGCAATAATATACACAGGTAAATGAAAACAATTTTGTTGTAAGGTATACAGTTTAAATGGAGAACGGAAATATTTTTTACAAAATAAATAATTTTGTTGTTCATAGTACGAAGAAGTGAATATTTATAGTCATACCAAACACTTATCAAAGCTTGTATATAGACGAGATATAACCCTGAATAAGTAAACATTAAATAATAAAAAAGCATTACAAATAGTATCAACAGGTCAAATTAACAAGAAAGTACGATTTGAGAGTACTCACAGTTACTGACAGCTAGTTAAAAGCCAAAAACAATTAATAATAAAAAATCATGCATCAGAGACTAAAATCAACTAAAACACATCCCAGGGATTTAGTATTTTAACGTCATGGACAGTCAAAGAAGACAAGACTTGTGCAATGCCAAAAATAAATTTATCGACAGGCAGTAGCATAGTTAGGAGTTAACCTCTTTATAGAAAAAAATTAACGTGGATATGTCTTTATACATCCCGTTTGAAATGAATACAAATTTAGTTATGTTTTAATTTGCTGATGACAAAATCGATATTTGTGCCAATGTAAACTATATTCAAAGATCTAATTACAACATTGGTAAGATAACCTTTACTAATAAGTTTGTTTAAAGGCTCGATTAGTTTACACAGATCACATAGTGATTTCCGCGCTTTTAGTACAATATTACCGTAAAATTTAGGATGTGAAATACCGTTTTTAACAGGTACAGCCAAATTTACTAATCAAATCTTTGTATCTATGAAAGAATTTAGTAAAAGTTTTAAGTAATTTATGGTAACTTTGTATGAAATGATTATAACTATAAGGTGTACATGTCCAACTGGCAGGTGCTATCTGACCTTGACCTCATTTTCATGGTTCAGTGGCAAAAGTTAAGTTTTTGTGTTTTGGTCTGTTTTTTTAAAACTGTATGCAATAGGTTAACTATATTTGGTGTATGGAAATATTTTATGATATACATTTCAGTCTGGTAGGTTTTATTTTACCTTGATCTCATTTTCACTGTTCATTGCTCAATGTTAAGTTTTTGTGTTTTGTTCTGTTTTTCTTAAACTTTAAGCAATAGGTCAACTATATTTGGAGTATGAAATGATTGTAAGGTGTATATGTCTGTCTGGCAGGAATCATCTGACCTTGACCTCATTTTCATGGTTCATGGGTCAATATATAAATTCCATAGTTTGGTCTGTTTCTTTTATACTATAAGCAATAGGTCATCTATATTTGGTGTATGGAATGATTGTATTAAAGGTGTACATGTTTATCCGGCTTGGTTTATCTGACCTTGACCTCATTTTCTTTGATCATAAATGTTAATGTGATACTTGTAGTAAAACTTTAGGACTATCAGCATAAAATCAATGGTCAGTATAGTAAGCGAAACAAATCAGCATGTGCACTCTTGTTATAGTTTGTTCTTATGTAGTTCTGTTACACCACTGTCCCAGGTTAGGGGAAGGGTTGGGTGCCTGCTAACATGTTTAACCCCGCCACATTCTGTATGTGCCTGTTCCAAGTCAGGAGCCTGTAATTCAGTGGTTGTCGTTTGTTTCTATCATATTTGTTTTGTGTTCTTTATTTTGTACATAAATTAGGCCGTTAGTTTTCTCGTTTGAATTGCTTTACATTTGTCATTTCGGGGCCTTTTATAGCTGACTATGTGGTAATGGTTATTCTCATTGTTGAAAACCGTACGGTGACCTATAGTTGTTAATTTCTGTGTCATTTGGTCTCTTGTGGAGAGTTGTCTCATTGGCAATCATACCACATCTTCTTATTTTCATATTAGCAATTGATTTATTTTATTTTTTATATTCTGCATGAAACTGTTATACTTAAACTTAACATATAATCTACAATAAATGTCTGTGCTCAATGGGTGCAAATGGTGTACATTTTGCAAATAAAAAACAAAAAACATGCCATTCACACAAAGCATGTGTGTAAGCCAACAAAATATCTTATCATGACCACACATATTCTTTTTCTGGTAGAATGTTTCCCCATGCTCTTTCTTTTATTATCCCCAAAGAACTAATTAGGTAGCAGAAGGTTTGTAGACTGATCATGCCAATCCATATATCTGACAGCTTCAACAAACATGGTACATTTGTTACCCATATGTTCAAGGTCACTTGCTATTGGGCAAAGGAGAAACTTTACTTTGCTTTGCCATTGTTACAAAGTAGCTGGAGTATATAGTTTTTACTGTCCAACAGTCAGTCCGGCAGTCATTTTCGTTTCAGGATGCGAACTCAAATACTTAATATAGTATTGCATCCTTGCTTGGATATGGTCACATATTATGAGAGGAAGA